AAAAAATGGCTTCAGGCCAGTCACAATAGATATCACGAAATTCATGCCCTAATGCTTATACATTTTGCTTAAAGGAGTATCTCTGGAAACACCAAAGTTTATTGACTCGTGCTTTATGTATAATCTACTGCATATTAGAAGCAGTCAATTAGAAGAGGAGCAGGTATTATAGGGTAGCAGCATGAGAGTGGCAATAACTTTAAAAGTGAGGGCAAAAAGATGAAAACTATAATCACAAGAATTCAAAACAATAACTGTTTGGGAACAAATAGTTTTAAACACTTGAAGTCTTTGGGAGAAAAATGTGTTATAACTCAGTAGCATGATTCTTATTCATTCTGAATACTTAAAGGGAAAAGAAAAACTTGGTAGCAATACATTCTGTTTCAAAAGATAAAAACATTCCAGTTCTAAGAGGTGCATTAAGTCCTGGCATCTACCAACCTTCCTCTTTCAAATTCCTCTGAAATGACAGTGAAGAAATATAAAATGGGATCAAACCAAAACTATACTGTGAAAAGGAACAGCACCAACAATAGACTGAAGTCCATGATGGCTTTCTGAAGGAAGAAAAATCTATGGCTTTGAGCTGATGGAGTGGAGAAGGCAGAAGCCTAGAACACACTCACAGGATAAGGCTGCAGCTATGGAGGGATGTGTTCTTTCCTGCAGAGTCCCAGAGAGCCTAAGGAGCTAATTAGGGTAATTTATTGCAACTAGATCTCACTTGGCTCCTCTCAGCCCCTCTCACTCCTTTCAGTTAAAACAACTAATATTCAATGTTTACCCCCAGCTGAAATCAAGAAATTAAATGTTAAAGAAAGTGAATGATCAGTGTAGAGATGGCTAAATTACTGGCATTCAGTAGAAGACAGAGAGGCAGGAAACCCAGCCCATTTGCCCATAAAGTGAAGCCTGGACATTGACACTGAGGCATTACCATCAGCCCTTCAGTCAGAAAAAGGTGCTGGGGAGAATGAGATGTACTCTGTCTACTATTAACCATTCTTATCCTTCATTCAAAAATATAAATGAACCACAAGAATTACCAGGCACATGAGGAAGATGAACTGCACATCAATAGCATACAAAAGACCAAATTGAACAAAAACAACATTTCCCCAGAAAAACACAGTTCAGAAACAGAGTATTATTTTTTAAGTCTTATAGTAACATCAGAGAAACTAGTGAAAATGCTGGACCTCAAAACAATAGCAAGCTACTATTTTTTTTAAATAGTAATAAAAAATGAGTTCTGGAAAATTTTAAATGGGATTGTCAAAACAAGAGCTTTAATAGAAGGACTGGGAATTAAAGTAGAAGAAATCTCCTAGAACACTGAACAAATAAGCAAAAATGTGAAATATGAAACAAAAGTTGAAAGATATAGAGGATGTGTCTTGAAATCCAACATCTAATAGGAGTTCTAGAGAAAGCATAGAAAACACAATAACCAGGGAAACAGTAGAAAAACTTCTTGAGCTGATAAAGATTGACAGTGTTCCCTTAGCGCTAAGTGGGAAGAATGAAAAAGACAGTCTTTATAAAATGTCAGAACACCAGAAATAAGGGGGAGATCTAAAATGCTTGATAGAGAATCAAGAGACAAGAGAGAAAAGTCAGCTATCAGGAAGGATTAACAATCAGATTTACCTTTAACTTCTCATTAACGCAAGTTACTAGAAGACAAGGGAGCAACACTTTCAATGCCCGAGGAAAAAATATTTTAAATCCAGGATCTTATACCCAGCCAAATAATGATGTTTATATATGCAAGTATTTGCAAAGTTTACTTATCTGAGACAAATTATCCAAACTTGGAAATAAGCAAAAGGATAATTCAGTGTTTTTTTTTGGTGCAGAGCTGAGCTTGGCTTCCTATTGTCCAGGCCATTTTACAGCTCTATAAGAACAGGGGTTAACTAGTCCAGAGAATTTTTATCTGATAGAGATTCACATAACTTCTGCATGGTTTCTGGCCCCATTAGACATTAACCAATTTTGTAACTAACCCAGCAGTCTTATCCTAACACTCGTAAATTGTTTATATACTTAGCTTCATAAGTGCTTTGTTTGGACCAGTTTTAACATTTTGCTGCTTTCCTTGTTAAATTTTAAGTTGAATAAAATTCTTGAAAAAATGTTTATATTTGTATGAGAGTCATTTTAAAAAAATTTCCCTATATTCCCCTTCTGAAAGTTGATGCTGTATCTCAGATACAGTGTAGTTTCCTTCTCAAGGAATCTTAACACACTACTGGTTTTACAGTTACTAGTATTTGT